TGATTATAGATATTGAGCTTTGAGCTTTTTATAACAATAGATTGAAGCTAATGCAATGCTATCTCTGTGTCATTCCAACATCTTTCCCAGGATGTCAGAAACCCTTAGGAATGGAAAGAGGAATCATCACAGATGCTCAAATTACTGCTTCTTCCCAATGGGACGCGAACCATGCTGCAGTAAATGCCCGGCTGCACTTAAAGGCCGGCGGAGGAAAGCAGGGGGCTTGGTCAGCGGCTGCTAACAATCAGAATCAATGGCTCAAAGTGGATCTAGGCTCCGAAACCGACATTAGAATCATAGGGACCCAAGGAAAGAACGGATATAGTCAGTGGGTGACAAGTTTCAAGTTAGACTACAGTAATGATGGAAGCTCCTTTCAGCATTACAGAGATCCGGGAAGCAGCCCAGACAAGGCATGCAATGAAATATTTGACCCTAAACGCTTTGAAAAGCTTCCCTGTTGACGTTTTAGTTTGCAGGTCTTACAGACGGCAGCCTGTAGGCTTGAAAAGACCAGAATAAATTCAAGCTTTGAAATGCGAGAATATCTTCAATTTCGAACGCCACTCAGTCCAATTGAACAAGAGACTACGAGTTAGTGTAAATATTTGCAGTGCATTACATCATTTTTTTATAGGGTGATAAATTACCTTTGATTCATGTCCCAGTTTGTAATAAATTTTCAAATCCAAACTGAAGCTCAAAAAAAAAAATAATGTGGTTATGAGGATTTTCCTCACGGGACCTGACCATTTAACGATTAGATACGTTTCACACCGAAGCAGTTTTGTTTGAAAACTGTTGCTTTTTCAAATGTTTCGTCTTTTGTACACTTGGAGCGACGGCCGAGCTAGTAATCTGGTAATCGATGATCGATTATTTACCATATCTGAAGACAATCTTTTGCAAGTTCAGGTTAATCTTTGGAATATTATGGTTTTCTAAGTGTCTTTTCCTTTCAGGTCTTTGCAACAAACAATGATAGAGACACTGTCGTATATCACAAGCTAACCTTTCCCATGAAGGTGCGTTACATCCGGGTCATTCCATGGACTTGGCATAACCACATTTCAATGAGGATGGAGCTGTACGGATGTTCAGGTAACTTGTTTAGGGTTAGGACGAAAATAGAGCCCCATTCCACTGCCAATCAGAACAAAGGAGAATGAGATATGGGGCCTATGAGAAATGAGAGTGTGAAGCAAGCAAATTGACCCGAGCGCGGGAAGATGTGAGTAACCAAGTCGCTATTGCTTTAAGTTTTCTATCGAATTGACGAAGAG